CGTGGAATCGGCAACCAACATGCCTGTTTCACGAAATGCGGCTTGTTCCGAGTATATCGTGAAACCAAAAGATGTCACGCCCATTTCACGAAACTGCTTTTCTCTTAGCTATGTGAAATCGGCATCAGACATGCGAATTACCCGTAATGAGCATTTTATTGCATGGCTCATGGACTAGGCAATATTGAAAATTCAGCATAGACAAGTCGTTGCATCAATCATCAAAACAACTTCAGTATCTGTTGCAAGAATGGCTGACTGAACACCTGTTTACAGCAGAGCAGCTTCAAAATGGATGAAAGGGAATATACAAGTTGACTGACCATTAAAGAAGACTAAAGTGTACCATTTCACACAATGCATAATACATGTTTGCTTCCTTCTAAGAAATGAAGATATTCCCCAATAATATTTTATTCTACTTAAAAGGTAGGTTAATGTTTGCTTTATTTGAACTTCTATCATTTTATACGTGAGCAAGAGTAAATATAATTTTCAAAATGCAATGAATTATTTTAAACTGAGCTCAAGTCCCAAGCTACATGTTGACATTATAGTTTCCTATTTTGTTTATTATGCTGTAGGAAACTCTCTCAATTAATGACAAATGCTTTATGACAAAACACTAAACTTCTAGGAAAGTTGTCAACGAATTAAAAAAAAAATAAACGTCAAGTCTCATTAAACTCATGTGAGACATTTTAAAATGTTTACACAATATGTAAATGAGATTTTATCGCTATTTTAAAATAATGGTTAGATATAAAAATCGGAAATGTTAAGCTAGTCTTCCTAACAACTTCAAGATATGTTTTGACGGTTACCAGACTTTGCAGATGGTAACAAAATTTGCTTCGATTTATTTTTTGCCAAGCAGTAACAATCTCTGTGATGTGATGGAGAGGAGTACAATCTGAAAATACCAGTTCAAAATACTAAACAAAGTTCACTTTTAACTCTCTCGCTACTACTTACGCAGTCTAGAGCAACTATTGTAATGCCGTGAAGAAAACGTGAATTTTCTTCAGAAAACTAATTGTCGGGCTCTGGTATCGAAAAAGTGAATAAATATTGTCCCTATATGTAGTAAATCACTATCTCTAACACGTTGTGTACTAAGAACCCTTGTTTTGAGGGTCCTTGACACCAAATAATCGATTGATGGGAAACGTCTGCCTTCTGTCAATTTGTCTGCGATGAACAAGTTTAATGGCGTAAGTAGGATTTTTCACCACAATTTATGTTCCCCAATCGACGGGGTTGATGTAGGGGCCCCTTGAATTTGAAACCGATGTTTTATTTTTGGAGGGGGGACTGTATTACATGAAGTTCATTTTCAAAATTAAAAAAAATGGCATCACGTTTTCTTTATTACGTTTTGTTGTCAGATAGTGTAAAGGACATTTACGATAATTTATGCAGTTTTCATTTTTGTTGAAATCCTTGATTTTTGTAAATTACATACATTAATTTTTTCTGATTCTTCCTACAACTACATAAATTAAGACAAATTTTGTTTTCTTAACGAAATGTGTTTATCGGGAACATCTTCTAATAGATCATATTCAATTTTTCAAACAAGAACACATTTTTTCATCAAGAAAATAATGCTGGGACCTATTCTCGAAATTTCAATTCTCTTTTTCCCATACAGATGACGTCAATTCCCATTGGAAACGCGGTTTGTTTTGTTCTCGAGATTCTCGAGACATTCGATAAAACCCGAAGAGTTTGCGTCCGATTTCACGCGAATGCAAATTCGAATACAAATTCCTAAGCAATTTCATGTTTTGATATTAAATGTCATAACCTAATCTTAGATCAACAAGTTTTGGACAAAGGCTAATTTCAATGAGACATCTATTTTAGCATCTATAGAAAATGAATTGCAGCGGGAAGCTGTTGAACGTGGTTTGGTTCACGAGTATTATTAGAGATCCGTTCAAAATATATGATAGGGATATATCTGATAAATATTTTAGTGCCTAAGGACGTGGGCAATGTAATTTTTTTAGAATCTTTACCAACCAAAGTGGATGGGGATTTTCCATTTGTCAGGGATTCATTTATGTTCATAATCAGCAAGAGCTAACTTTTGTTTCTGACTAGCATGTGCATTTTATTTACGTGGTGTCATTTTCTTGGTTTCTTACAAATAAATATACAGTTTTGTCAAATGATAGAAAGCATAATGTGAATACTAAATAGCTATTATTACTTGGCTTATTTTCTATTTTAGTCCTCTTAAAATAATATTTTTTTTAATATGTTGATTTTGGTTCCAAGAAATCTATTCTAAAAATCAGTTCTTTAAAAAAGGCCATGTGTAATTGTTTAAAAATATAAGTAGTTTAGCGTAACTTTACATTTTTTGAAATTGCATATTTGAATTTCCTACGCTTCGTTTGACGAGCTGAGAGTTTGCAATTTTTTTCAATTCTTCTTAGTGTTGGACACGGACATAGAACCAGATTTGTTTTATTAATTAATTAAACGGGGAAAACGGATGAAAACTGTGACGTACTATGAAGAGAAATGTTTTCTGTGAACATTGTCTTAAATTATGGGATTCCTACACGGACCCATATATAAGAATACGTTGAATTCTGAAAACGGAAACGACGAGCATTTTTTCTTCGATATGTAATGAGAATTGGGGAGAATTTTCTTAAGACACATTATGCTTTCTATTATTTGACAAAACTGTATATTTATTTGTAAGAGAACAAGAAAATGAAAAGATATGCAGAATTTAGCATTACTTGTTCAGACAATGTGTAATTCGTATTAAAACGAGAAGATTTGAAGATTATTACAATAATATAGAATTTAATCATTCTTTCATACATCTTTCGACATATTTGCACTTGCTTACCAGCGCTGTGTTATAACGTTGTGAAATGAGTATATGTCAAATGAATCGTTCATTTTTATTTTAACAACGCCACGCTGGCAACAACGCACGTTTCGAAATAAAGTGATATTGGAAGTGTAAGAAAGGCAGAAATTGTGACATTGTAATATTAGATAACGAGAGCATTATAATATTGCAAGAAAGTATGTGCTGTAGAAGCTCCTTTATGTCTATTTACCTATATAATTATTAATATTTTCATCAGTTTTGTAACAAAAGTATTCACGCGATCACAGTTAAAATCTTTCTTTTGTGAACAGACCCCCAATTGTTTAAAAACGATTAACTTCTAATATGCACTACGGGTACCGCATGACACCGACTGACTCAGAATCTGCCACCCAGCAGTTTACTTGTATACTTGCGGTAAGGTAAGGGGCTAAAATAATTCCTTTCGATGACTGATGTGCAATAGGAAATACGAAGGTGCACTGACTTATTTTCAAAACATCTATTAATACTACTAAGACCACTGAGACATACTCGTAACTGAGCGCGACTACCAGACGTGAGAATAAAGTCGCCAATCTTCGAATACGAAAGGTAAAAAAAAACAATACGAAAGCATAACTTCGTTGAAATCTCATGAAAGTGGCGTAGATGAACTAAACAATATACTTATTTTTAAATACGCTTTATGCATATAGATTCTACATATCATATACGTGCAATTTAAATGTATTTGCATTAATATCAAAATACGTTATGATACGGTATATTTAAAAACTGTGACGTGATATGACGTTTTTATTGTGATATTCTTTATCCACGTATAAAATCGAGCATGTTGCGTACCTTCCTGGAGGTAAAATCTTGTTCTCTGGTGTAATTGATTGTTCACTATAATTTTCAAATATTAGCAAAATGAAGAACATTTTGAGAGCAATCCCTTATATCAAGATTGACATAAAATGGAATATAGGCAATTTCAAGAAGGGTAATATTAAGCAGCACAATTATTTGTGATCATTCCCCCCATTATGAATCTAATAAAAGATATCATCGAGCAAACCTCTCTGAAGATATGTTATGGCCAATCTTGAGATTGTCATGGGCCTTCTTATGTAAAATGCAAAGGGCTTAATATTATTGATTTTACGATGTCTTAAACGAAGAATTTGATATTAGTGTACTCTTGATATATAATGAACTCACGAATGTCACGAATTAAAACTGAAATTAATCATGATTTTTTTAAGAACAACATATTTTAGATTTGTTAGAACCATTTTATTCAACATCGTAAATCATACAAAAAATAATTTATTGCTGTCACAATGAAACAAAAAGAATTCAGTATCATAATTTTTGTGTATAGCAAAATTCTACATTTGTGATTACATCGTAGAAAAGCGAATTACATTATCAGCCCTACAAGCAATTACAATACTTTTTGTCCAAATCAAAAATCTATTATTTGCTGTATTTTAATATATCACACTGATATATATCGACAGCAAACATTTCTAAAATCATACAAAAGGCAATATTTTTTGAAGTGTATGTATTGAATTCAATTAATCCCTTCTTTTACGTGGCGAGCCTGTATGTGACCGTCATATTCTCGCCGATTGCTCTTTCAATTTACGCACTATGGTTCGAATTGCGCCTTGAAATTGGTGGACCCCACTCCTAAAATGAGCCTCATCCCCACGCTTCATCGATTTTTGCATTTGCGCCCGAGTTGCTCGCGCGCGACTCGTGAGATCAGTAAAAGTGCAAAACGCTTTGCAGGCCTGCAGTAGACCATTCCATCCTGGCACGAGCTCTCACCTCTGAGTTACAACTTAATTGACATTTTAAAATGTGAAATATTATTTCATTTAAACGAATAATTTCTTTGCTTAAGTGGAAGAAATGAGAATTAATATTGCTATATTTGAGGCAATATCTATGAAATGACTTCTTGAAAAGCTGTCATGGGCCATGTTTTCAGTTACGTACCGCTACTCCGAAGCATTTGCATAACCCTCACTTTTCAATCTCGGGCCAAGTGCTCCGAACGCTAGTCAGTAGACAAGAGCGATTTGATTACGTTAATGACTAGAGTCGTTGTGTTGGCAGCATCCCGTTGGTGGCGCGCGCTATGAGCGAGACCGAGGAAGAAAGCTTCACAGAGCTCCCCCGCGGAGGCGGCAACGGGGGCAACGGGGGCGGCGGCGGCGGCGGCGGCGGCGGCAGAGGTGGCGCGAGAGGCAACAGAGCCGGCGGCGGCGGTGGCGGCGGCGGAGGCGGCGGCTGCGACTTCTGTTGCGACGGCGACCTCTACCGTGCATCATCGTGTCAGGTAGCGCCTCAGCAGATTTATTGATATTTCAGGGATCCCTAATTGGCATTATTCCCGTTTAAATTGTGAATGTTTTATTCTGGGAGGAGGCGGATTTCCCGAGAGGATGGCGAGATCAGGTGTTCACCTACAAGCGTGAGGGGATATCTCCCTCCACGTATCAAGTGGCTTAGCCGGCACAAGATCTTAGCGCCAGGCAGTTGTGGTAGTGGGCCAGAAAGTGGAAGGAAATGTCGCGCGCGTTTCGTCACCCCTTTGTTTAGATACTGCTCTGGCATTCGCCGCGAATTAAAAATGAAAACCCACAAAAAAAATCACGAGCAGAACAGTCATCCGCTAGAATCCTCCTCCAGGCAGGCTGAATTCGAACTCGCTACGTAGCCCATGTGCTGTCGTAAGTCTGCCTGCTGCATTGGAAATTGAACCCTTGGACTTCTCAGTCAAAGTCACTGCAGAGTCAACGGCAATACTAGCTCTCAGCTTAACTCAGCAGGTTGTTACGACAGGAGATTGAGACTCTGAACGGAGCCACGGGGCGAAGGACGTGCCCGACGCGGCGGCAGGCGCAGTGTTCCAATTGTAGACCAGACGTAGGGGGGAAAGGTTCAATAGGAAAATCCATAATAACAGTTTAAATAGAAATTATTATATAGAATGTTGATAGAATAGCAATATGAAAACTTAAATAGTAGAACATTGATTATTATATTAATACAAAGCAATATCCGACTATCCAATGCGGTGGGGACGTTCGAGCAGTTTGTGGCTTTCAACTTGTGCCCGTTGTACCATCTATAGTTTGTTTTGGTGTTTGCGGTAGGGCTTCTCGTCGTTCGAGCCGTGCGCGCCCTTCAACGCGTGCCTATTGTACCGTCTATGGTTTGTTTTGTTGTTTGCGGTAGGGCTTCTCGTCGTTCGAGCCGTGCGCGCCCTTCAACGCGTGCCCGGCTGCGCGCGGTGTGTGCCCGCGGCGTCGCCGCTCGTCGTGCGCCCCGTCGCCGTGCTGTTCGCCGTCGCCGCCATGCGCCGCCATGCCGCGCTGCTACTCGCCGCCCTTGGCCTGCTGCCCCGGCGGCCGGCAGCTGATGCTGGGCAAGCGCCTGCTGCGCGCCGCCGCCTGCGGCCAGACCAAGTGCGTACGGCGACTGCTGTGCGAGGGCGCTGAGGTCAACTTCGTGGGCGTCGGCGGCACAACGCCCCTGCACAGGTCTCTCCTCATTTTGTTTGAATAGAATTTCGTTAACTGTAAATCCATAGAAGGTATGCATGAATCGTCCCCTGAATTACCAAGTGTGGAGCTTTCTGTGCCCATCATCAAACATATGATTTTATTCATGAATTTCATAAATAACTTACAATAAATTAGTGCATCCAGTTAAAGAAAGGAATTGTTTCAAAATATAGTCTCAATTAGCGAATTCTTATTCATTAGCCTGAATTGTTGTTGAAAAACCCAAATTTTAACAATTATTTGTGATAAATTGATGCATATTTTAAACAAAAACTACATCACAAATATTGAATAAAGTGATTTGTAGAAGGCTTCCAAGCCACAAGAATCAACGTGTCTGAAAAATGGTTTCAGAGTTGCGTCCCTTTTTAAAATTTTGAACAGGGAGGACGCACACCAAAAAGGAAATATGTTGGATACATATTTACACCCTATTCACATTGCTTCAATTACAGGTTTTCGTAATTTAGTCAATAATAAACATCTGCTTTCGCTATCTGTAATGAACCCATGTCTATCTAGCCCCATCTCTGAGCCGTAAAGAGACAGACATCGTACTATTGAAGCTTTAGAATTTTCTATGTGATTGAAAGAAAAAAAAATTGAGAAAAGTGTCACCTTATATATTGGGGATGTTGGCCATATCTTTTTATGATATAAACGACAAAATTGTATTTAAGAAGACTTCGTTATTGGAAGAATGAATAAAATAAATGTTGCTAATGCTAACATTTTAAAATTATGTAAATTAAGATCAGTATCATTTTTGTTTTATTCTTCACTCGTATACGTACTGTATTCAGCAATAAATTTTGGAAGTGGATTGCAATTTTTTCTCTCCTTCTAGTCGAACCGTTTCACGTCGGCAAAAATGTCTCAACTGACATTCTCTGCTAAAGTCACCGCTGTTTTTACCTCATTAACTGAAAATAGTTTTATTCTTGGTATTCGATCTTCGTGAACTTTCAGGTTCTTATTTTTCCATTTCCTTTTATGCTTGAAGATAAAACTTATTTGTATCCGTTCCACAATTTGCACCGAAAGTCAGTTTCCACTTACTTTTTCTGTGTTCAATAAAGGATTTTACACTTGTAAGAAAGTAAGAGTTGTATATTAGGGTGATTGGAAGACGTCACATGCTAGGAAGTGTCAAACGAGTGCATTCACCATTAGTGACCGTTGAAGGAGGTGACTTTGATCCATAAGGATTGCCCACCGCGATGCTTTCTAACAGTCGCCGGCGGGTCCCAATAATTGATGGAAAATTATACTAAATCATTAGCAAATTCTACACATATTTTACAAGACATTACATTCATTTTCGGCAAAGGTTGTGTCAAAATATACTTAGGTGTGAGTTGAGACAAAGTCATCTAAATTTGACCGTTCTGTGTAATTACGATCCTTTCCGCGTGGACGCGTCCTTTCAGTAAACTAGTTTAACCTTTCTCTATTTGGTTCCGATTGTACAACTGTTATCTGTAACAACTCTTGTCTGTAAAACAAGATAGCATTGGGTTTACGGGCTGGCCTGAGTGAGAGAATGCAGGAGGCTCCCAGGAAGCGATTTCGCATGATGATGGTTTCAAATTGTTTTGTGAATATCCGAAAAACGAAAGACGAAACTACTACTTAGGGCAAGGAAAGATTGTAACGATGAATCTGTTAAACGACGAAACATTAAGAATGCTCCTTAATCGAGGATCGGTCGCACCCAGTTGCCTAGCGCGATTCGCGCGAATTCAATTTTATCTAATTCCCGATTTTTTTACCAAATACACATGGTTTTCCACTTTATTTTTTGTTTTTAGTTATTAACTTTTTGTTTATCTATTGTGTACCTTCAAAAGTATTTTTTTATTTAAAATTGGTGTTACACACAGGTTGGCATAATTACTTTTCTTTTTGCACTTGAAGGAGAACGCAATGAAATATGGTAGTAACATACATTATAAACACAAAATAATGAGTATTGTTCTGCGCATGAACTAGTAGAATTCATTAAAAAATATGTTATTTAATATATATGGTATATTTATAATTACTAGTAGTAAATACGGTATATTTTTAATTACTAGTAGTTGTTTCTTCATTGTACCTGATCTGACGCGCAGCTATAGAGCGATTGTTATAAGAATGGGACTTCTGACAGCTAGTGCTGGTAACACAACTGAAGGTTCTGCCGTCTTTGTGTCCCTCCTTCCTTCATTCGTTCGTTTGCAGTTGGCTAACTTGTAAATGGCTTCGATGCTTTCTTTTGTTATGTCCTCGTCCGACAAAAATTGCGCCACGCGAAATAATTGATTAATTAGGAAATGCAGTGATAGTGCACTCTTATAATGAACTAATCTATAAAAATTATTTTTTATAAACATTATATTGGATTTAGTGTTCTTATGATAAGAATGTTTATTTTAAAACCGAGTCTTGAATGTTAAATGCTCACTGGTTGCGGTACACATTTATTCGGTTCCTGTGTTGTGAGGTGGCGAGCAGTATTTGAAAGCGTTTCATGGTTCCGTGCTTTGCTTTTTATATATTTTTTTAATTGTGACACAGTTGTAAACTACGAGAAGCCAGAGTGGGCATCCTCCTTGTTCAAGATTAAAGAACGCGTAAGTAATTCTCTGGATTACACGTGATGTTCACTTGTTTAGCGAACTGTCACTTTGGCTCATTCTCATAAAAATCACTCTAGAAAAAAACTAACGGCTACACAACTTTTATTTCATTGCCTCCCTACTTCCACAGCGTTGCCCCCACTCCTCGGAGAAGTCAAGCGCTTCACGTAGGACCTCGAGACGACATTTTCAAACGTCCCTGAGTTAATTTCTCGAACGAAGGAAATAATGAGAATACAAGTGCAAATATTATATGCAATCTAACAGGGGGGCCGAACTCGGATTTCCAAAACAATGGTAAAAAATTGCAATAGGATTCATCATTGACTCCTTCCGTTGATATACCACTGTTAATGATATATGTGAATTATAGGATTCTGCTATCAGACTGCAAAGTGCAGTCTACCAACAGAAATAACGAATATCTCTATTATGCGTGCAGAGCTTCTGCGGAGTCTCACCCATGCGTGGTAACGCTGCTGCTGAACAGTGGTGCCAACCCCAACGAGCGAACATGCTCTGGCCTTACCGCTCTGCACCTCGCCGCGGGCAACGACTTCTGTGGCCGGTGCGTCTTTCTGCGCTCTAGGGCCTCCCCGCCTGCCGTCTGCACCTATGCAATGCTGAAATCAACAACTTGGCCTTCACTTATGTATGATTGCCCGATCTGTGAAGGAACTGTTAAACATACTAGCAGCTCAAAACATTTTTTCAGAAAATCAATAAATTCCTAGCCGCACTTCAATCAAATACATTGCATATGAATGGCAAGTAGAAAACCAATACAATTGAGAAGTTTCTTACAAGAACCAAACAAGTCCAAATTTACTATTTTAGATACTATTGTAGGTATTTTAGCACGTTATTCTATACAGTTGGTGCCATCCTCTGGCACATATTCTTTTAGCATGTGATAAACACTGAAGGGAATAAGGCGGCGGAAAATCGTAAATGCATAATCCATGCACGTCCCTCGTAGAAAGTTTTGATGTCTCTTAAAAATCCCGTAATTGAAGCACTTTGGTTCTTGTAAGAAACCATTCAATTAAATGCATAGAGTATTTGAAAAATTTGACGAAAAATGAAGGTGCCAAAACGTTCATAGCAGGTTGTATCGCATGCACAGTAAAAGTTAATCATGATTCTGGAAAGATAAATTTCGTCCGTCTTTCATTCTGTTGAGATAGTAAATATATAAAATTCAAGAAACCCCACCAATTTTCAAAACTTTCAAACAGCGCCTGAATTCGACCTAGCTGACAAGCTAGACGGTAGTGGAACTGTAGGACCTCCCGGTCAGAGGCACTGCAGTGACATCAATTGATACCCTGAGCCACCTCCTTTTTGGTACGCTGTCCAGAGGACGAATTTTAACAGCAAACTGCTCTGAACCGCAACTTCCTGTGTGTTTTTTATAAAAAAAAGACACCAGGCGGAGGAAGTAATCTAACAAACAGGCAACGGAGTCCGGGCGATGCTTCATTTCTCATTCTTGTCCTCTCATCTCACCTTGCGCGCGCACGCACACACACACACATACACACATGTAGACACATACACTAACACACACAAATATCGGGACTAACTAAAGGGGGATAGCGATTAAATCGTCGGCACGGCGCACCTCCACTCGGCTTGCGAGTCACTTATTCCATACCGGTTCCGGTCAATACGGTTCCGGTACGGTATGGAACGGAACGGAACGGAACGGAACGGCAGCGAACGCCGCTAGTTCCAGTAGCACATTTCTTTTTTCACTTTCCGAGGAACTGACCCTATCCATGTCTTTAGTGACCATTTTGAACGCGTTGAGATGATGCATGTAGAATTGCTCCTGGCAGTTAACCATACGGTGTGCACACAAGTTTCGGGGATTGCAATACATTTGGATTTTGCCCAAGAAGGCCCTGAAAGCCCAGGGCCCTGATTTGCATAAAACTGTCACTTGGACACTGATTGATTAATAACGTTTCACTGAAATCACTGGTTGGAGAATAAAGCAGTTCTGTAGAACCAGCAATTAGCTTCCCCCTTGTCGGGGCAGCTACACTCTATAATATTGACACAATCGCTCCTTCACTGATCGCGAATACAATTGATCTCGCAGATATCGTTCATTAACCAGTTCGCTGCTCGATGTGAAGCGCTCGAGAGCTCGCCAACAAATGTGTTTGTGAAACGAAAAGTCCTATAATCACAATGTTGTGCGATTTAAATAATGGAATAACTATTGCCAATTCTTGTGTTCTAACGTCGTAATGATGTTTGTACAACATTCATCAAGAACACTGCTTCTCGTCCTAAATAGGATTCTGATGTTATCCCGTCGCACGAGCAGAGGTGGTCAACTCATTGACGGTACATGAAGAGTCTTCAGTTCTTTTTACGAAGGATTGAAGATTCCTTGAGATGACGCATTCAGATTTCAGGCTGAGTTTTGTAAATTGTTTTTTTTTCTTTTAGTCTCTTGAATCTTCATTAATAAAACGTCAAGTGTCAAATTAAATTCTTCTACCCGCGAACAAAGAAGATAGAATATACTAAATCAGTTTTGAAAACATCGTATGTATCACGGCCAAGCGCGCTGCAATACGTACCATGTTTAACCACGTTTGCGCATCTCCGTATACACCACTCTAACTGTGAGATCGCAGAAGATCGATTTTGCTGAACGCTGCGCTGTGCTTAAAATCTCTTCCGACGTATACATTAGGAACTTTAAAACCGCGAAGGATCCAGCAATCGACAGCAATACCTTGAACACTGCCTACCACTTTTGAGCATCTGCACATTGGCAGAAGACGGATATTGCTGACAATTACTGCCCGCTACTCTGTGCTTAAAGTCCCTAATTTGGAGTACGGTTGCTGATAAAATGGGTGCTGGCCCACGGCTGCGGGTGTGCGCGCAGGTGCGTGGCGGCGCTGCTGGAGGCGGGGGCGGACCTGGGCGCGCGCACCAAGTGCGGCCGCACGCCGCTGCACCACGCGGCCATCGCGGGCAACGAGGTGGCGGTGCGCGCGCTGGTGGCGTCGGGGGCCAGCGAAATCGCCGAGGACGACCGCGGCAAGACGCCCTACATGGTGGCCAAGACGGTGCTCATCCGCCGCCTGCTGCGCAACTCGTGCTGCCGGAAGAAGCGCTGCTGCAACTGCAGTTACTTCCGTCCACCCGACTGCTGCTGCACCTGCGACTCCAACTACGCCTGCTAGCCTCAACCTACCTAGCGCGCTCGCCCGTTGATACTTTCGTACAACAGAAGAAATAAACTGGAGATTGCAACGATTGGAATACACCGCTCTGCCTTTTTTATTTTGGTTCTTTTCTCCAATCGTAACTCTATATGAACAAATGGACCGCAGTTTACCTCAAGTCAATTCAATGATCACTTATTTTACGTGGCGAGGCTCGAGCCGTTAGGCCTGCTCTTTCACCTGACCACTTAAATTTCGGTGTGCCCCTTTCGTGTCCAGCAGAAAGAGAAGCTATTACTCGAGCGATTATAATTTACCTCATTCTTCTTTTAGGCTGGAGGATCTCTTAGGTGCAGTAAATCCACTACGTGACACAGTCTGTTTTACTTCTGAAGAGCATAGACCTACTTCCGAGAACAAATTGCACATGACAACACGGGTTCGCAAACGAAAGAGCATCATGATTATAACCTATCACCGCTAAGTCGCAATTGACGCTTAGTTACTCGTGTCGCTGATAAGGCTCCTAAATACGGCCTACGCACTTAGCATAAAACTTCTTTGAGTCTATTTGGCGCATAATATTATACCAAAATGCTTTTTTTGCCGAAAGGGATGCTAGGAGAAAAGAAATGAGAAAAGAATTTCAAACAATCGTTTTAATCCTATTGTAGTGGTTTTAGCGCCACTAGTTGGAGTGCTAAAACAGCGCATACTTTCTTGCTCTTACAAACAGTTAAGTAATATTATTATACTACAACTTCTATTCATATCAGCACAATTGCTCCATTTTTCTAAAACTCCTTAACCATCGACGAACCAATAGTAGAACATGAGGTGCGAAAACTAATTCTTTTCAAGCAAATATCAATACAAATTTCACAATTAAATGCGTATTTTCGCCTTAAGAAAAGCAGTTAGTTGTATGATTTTCAATATAGAATTTCAAAATCCGTGCACAAGATATCCTCATCCTCATGGTACGTCACATACAGGTTTAACTGTTAACTGAGACAATGTGCAAACATGCATTATGCATGAATTTATTCAAAAACTACTAAAACACAAACATACTCGGAAAAAGTATGCAACTTTAAAATGTGTTTGCCAAGAAAGACAATTTCAAATCTTGGAAGCGCTTCATAGCGTGAATAAAAACATTCATTTGTTATGGAAATCCTATCTCTACCCATTCATCATGCAACATCAGATAATAAAAATAATTAAAGATATTTTGTTAAATGTTTAGACAAATAGACCCATGTGTATATGGGCTTAGACCCATGTGTAAATAAGATTTCTTTACGTTATCCGTGTTCAAAATTTAATAAAAAATTACAGCAGTTTTTGGGAAAAAATTGTTTTAAAATGTAAACAAATGTTCATCATTGAGAAAAAATCTCCTTAATATTTTAACTGTAGGAAGACGCGAAAAGAATTGAACTTTTACAGTTTTCCAAAAAAGAGGATTTTAACGAAAATTAGACCAGCAACCTTCTCTTAAGCATTATTTACGGTGTCCAACAAGAAAATGTAATTAATAAGTTTGAACTAATTTTTTTGAAAATTTTTAAAATACTCCAGAGGCTTCATATAAATTATCCCCAAAATAAAATATCAGATTCAATTTAAAGGAACCGCAATACCAGGAAGATCGATTGGGGAGTATCAATTTTGAAGAAAATATGCTGAACGGTTTATTCGCAAGAGTTGACCATAGACTGTAGTATCCAAAAAGAAAGCAATTTCTAAAAAGGGATTTATTCCAACCACAATCTGTACAGAGGTACGAGACAAATTAACGCCAGATCCAAAGAATTTTCCAGGAAATGTACCGAAGAATGTCCAAGCCGCAATTTCCCGGAGAGATGTCCGTAGTCGCAGCCGTTGAACCGTTCACTGTTTCACGAGCGAGGAAGTCCGTATCCGTAGCCGTATCGTCGCACTT